ACACTGTACGCATGAGAGAAAAGTTCTGAGTGCAGACATAACAAGTGGATATCAGAGTTTTATTCCTCACAGCTCAGTCAGCTGGATCCCACCAACATTGAACTTCCTGCAGATCAAACGACTGTGTTTGCATACAAGCATCATTACTATTCCTGCACGACTGGTCAGAGGGCTGTACTGCGAAGCAAGTTTGACATAGTCGCGCTTTCTTTGTGTAAACCAGCTCAACAAAAACTAAAGCCCCAGCCAGAGAATACGGGTATCATGAAGGTGGTTTTCAACTTTCTTTGTCAACTCATCCTTTCTGCTTCAAACTCTGCATTCACATAAAAGGAGGCATTTAACGCGTCACGTGACTCTTCTTTCACACAAAATGAAACGATTGTATGCAGCCGCTTCAGTCTACAGGTTGTTCTAATGGAGAACAATTAGGAATATAAAAAATTATGACGGTAAAAAGCGCTGCCAGTGCAAATGGTGCAAGACACTAATGGTGGTAGAAAACTGTTAAATGTGTTAATATATGATATTTTACCAATGAAGCTGCTTATTTCCAACTGACAGCTGCACATTAAAGTTACACTTTAAACTTTATATATTTAAACATGATCTTGTATTGAGTGCATTTAGGTCTAACGCTGTACCATAATGAAGGATATCACTTTATTTTTTGGCCAAATCAAAGCGAAAGTAATGTTATTGATTGAATATTCTCTGTAACAAAAACCAGTAGAATAATCCATTTTCTAATCTGTGTTTTATCAGCTGCAGTACCAGCAGAGTAAACAGACTTGACAGCAACTCAGAGCCAAACATAAAAACATATTTATGTGATTTCTGCATCGCCAACTAAATACATGTCTGGTTCCCACGGCAACACGATGCATACAGTTTGCAATACTGTAACTACACGGCTTCATTCAGTGATATTAGTAAAGCACAGTTAAACATGTTTACAGATAGAACACATTCCCTCAGTTGAGAATCTGTATTGCTCATAAATAAGAGTCAGGAAACGATTTGGTGAAAGGGAGAAGCTCTTTCCAGCCCATTTAAATCCGAACCTCTAAACATAACCTGCTCCCAACCACGTTAGCTCCACAGCATCAGTTACCATGGAGATCTAGCAGGTCAAAACAGAGTCACCTTTGTGACACTGAAAACTCTGACTTTAAGCTCAACATACCTCGATAACCCACGATTCTGGCTTCGTAGTACAGCCCTCAGCCGATTTGTGAATGTTTACTACCTTCCTCAAACTGTGTTTTTCATTCAGCAATAATTAACTACTGACTGTGGAGTAAAAAGATGGGACAATAAAAAAGATTACATTAGAGTTTTTATATAAATATAGAAAACAAACAAAAGACGCGGCTCCTTCTGGAAAAATCAACGCAATCTAAGCTTGAGGTTGTGATATTTCAGCAACATCCTTTATTCTACACGTTTCATCTTTAAAAAAAAAAAAAAAAGTTTGATGAGTTTCTGACAAAAAAAATTCCAAGCTTCTTAGCACAACTGATTCGCCATGACCGACTCAGCAGCAGTCACAAAGAGTCAAAAACTCTGAGAGCAGAGAGGAAACAACAAGAGAGACTGAGAGGAAAAGAAAACCCACTGGATCAATAAAATAAAAGCAACATGGGTCACAAATGGTACGCAGAGGAACGAGATGTCGAAAAATACATTCAGCATGGTGAAACACCTTTCTCCAGCTGATGTGCAGAGTAGAGTGAAAAAGATTATAGAGGCTGGAAATTGGAAAAAGTTAAATATCTATAATATGCAGTCAACATTTTTTTGAGTGTTGGTAACACCTGTGGATACTCGGAAAAATGACTGATTGATTCCAGGTATTTGAATTTTGGAAAAAAAATAATAATGCAGGGAATTCAACTTTAATTCTTTTTTTTTTTTTTATGATTTATTGCATTCAAAAAGTGACACATTGCAGCTTTGACATTTCAGAGTTCTCTCTACCTCTAGCAATGGTTGAGCTGTTTTCTTCTCCATGTCGTGCTAACGAACAGATCGCTGCATCTAAATAAGGTGTAAAATCATCTTTTGTGCATCTCCTTGAGGCAAAATATAATTTAAATTGTATCCAAAACACTTCACTGGTTGAACGTCTGCTTCTGTATAAACACGACAATTTACAGATGTTGCCTAAATGCCTCACACAGGCTACAGCAGAAGCTAGCTGGGCGGCTGTGCACAGAGAAGCCTCTAGTCTCCACCAGTTACTGCCGAAGTTCGGACAGCCGAGGGACCAAAAACTAGTTTGCAAATGTCAGATTAACCGAAGTTGAAATCAGATGTTTGTAAATAAATGTGGTTTCTGTAGGGAAAATCAAAAGTTTGCTGATGCTCACATAAATCATTTTATGTGTATGCAAAGGGTTTGTATCTGTTATCCCCTGAGTAAAGACTGGACAAATATTAAATCTGATCATTTAGGGGGCTTTACATTTTTTTAGTAGAAAAAATGTGAGAACTATGAACAAAAAGGCAACAAAAAAGCCTAAAAAAATCCAGTTCTAATTTGCTATTGACTGTTTTTATTGTGGAAAACTGAACTGTTGACTGTTGCTGTGGCCTGCTGCCTCTCCTTTGTTGGGATTTGTTGGTTGGACAAAGTACGTTTGTCGTCACAATAACGCAAACATTGGATACAGACTGTTTCAAATATTAAATGAAGATATAAAACTGTCAGAAAATAGTCCAATATTTAATAATTACCCATTTATAAAAACAGGAAAATAAAAATTGCTAGTTTTAAATGCAAAAGACAAGAATAACCGATTTATAATAATTTATAAAGACCATGACAACAATTGAACACAAGGTGAACCTTAAATTGACCTTCTTAATCTACCAAATAAAAAGCAGCAATTTGAAACATCTTGTATTTTCACTCTATACTTTTTATCTCACTTGTCTGACTGACTGTCATACAGCGGGGTCTACCAGCCCTGAGGCATGCTGGGAAGGACGGGGTGGTTACCTGTTTTCTGAGGTGGATGATGATGTCAGAGGGTCGGGACAGAGTGTCTTTCTGATTGGTCCTCAAAGCAGGAAGAGACCCTTCGAAGACAGGGGGAAAAAACAAAAAAAAAACACGAATAAGTCAGAGTTTCTTCTTTGCGTGTCCCCGAGTGTAACTTTAACATTTCTTACCGCTGGGACTCCTCCAGGGGTTAGAGATCTTCCGAACTTTAAGAGGAGCTCCGGCGAACTGAGCATAAGCCTGAAGAGAGAAAACACAACTACAGGTCAGCTAAACAACCAACTAAGTGCACTTGTACATGAATGCAAAGTACATTTTACATTTTTTTTTAGTATTCTCCAGCTTAAGTTTCTCTGAGCTCAGACAGACTCTGGCCCAATCCAGCTCCAGCAGGACACTTACAGCAGTGTGAAGCCGAAACTTGGTTTGCACAAACTTGGGATGATTTTATAGTCTACATTATTTTCAACCAACATGTCTGAGGAGTAAAGGAAATCTTTATGCTTAAGAGGCATTCCTAAAACATCATGGCTTATAAATGATGGAAGGTTCAGAGCATCGTAAGGTAGTCCACAATCTTAATTTTGTTGCAAACTCAAATCCTACCAGAAAGCCTGAACATCCTTATCTACTGTTATACGTCCACACGCACATCAAATGTGCAGAAAATACAGTTTTAAACATATTTTCTCTTTATTTTTGCATCCACGATCACAAAAAGTTAATTTTCCACTTCAGGAATTCAGGGCAGGGGTGATAAGGAACAGGCCTCTAATTGATCATGCAACATCTTCAATCGTTAGTTCCAATCACACCAAAACAACAATGCATGAATATTAACATAAGGGCATTCATTGATTTGATATCCTGAACCTAAGGTGGAGAAAAATTAAGCTATCAAGGAAGTTCAATTAACTTACAACAAATTAAAAATAATTTTGTTTTAAATCAATTAATGGAGATATTTCAGTTTAAATGACACACAATATTATGTTGGTATACAGACCAACATTATTATGTCATCACTACTCATCAAAACAATGTTTGCAACTTACAAGGTTTATCTAAACCAGTGGTTCTCAAATGCTTTCTGTCAGGCCGCCCTTCAGAGGACATAAATCTTTCGTGCCCCCCCCGGACAATCTGGATTACAACCATCCTCTATGCCAGTGTTTCTCAAAGTGTGTGTGTGATGATGGCCCATGGTATGGACATTTAAAATATGCTCAGTTTGTAGAAAAGTCTGTTCATGAAAAAAAAAAAAAAAAAAACTAACAACGATGCTAGTAGAAAACTTTTCTGAGGTGAAAAGTCTTCTCTCCTTCATCCCTGTGAGGACGAGCAGCACTGATGTCCTCCTCATCTATTCCAGTAACAACAATAATGTTGAACTTCAGCTCCCTCTTTTCATAAAGCACACTTATCTTATGACTTAAGTATTTACACTCCACTCAAAGCTGGGCAACAACTTTATTTCATCCGTTTATTATATACTTTAACACATCTCTCCAGTTCAAAATTGTTTAAATAATGTAGTTTTTAATGTGCAGTAAAGGTGTTAATGAAGCTCTTGTCCTGAATGTGTTGATGTTTCAATGCTGCATATCTGCTATAAATGACAGCAACATGTTCTCCATATTATACTGATGCAACAACAGCAGACATAAAGTTAAAGGTGATAAATGAACCTGTGAATACTAAGAACAGAGAATAACAAACTGCTGAAACAGCTACTCTGTCTTTCTGTAAGTGAAAGCTGAACAGGAAGTGGTTCACTGACGATGACGTCCATTCAGTCTCCTTCACAACCAGATGAACGGCTCCAGATCAGGTTTTCCTTCTGTTGGCTTCACTCAGAAGATCTTCAGTGGACATGAGACAAATCTGAGGTGAAGACAGACATCACAGTATCAGCATCAACAGCAAAGGGTCATTTGAATTAACCCTGGAAACATTTCCTATTTCATGTATAGTTTTCCAAACACCTAAAGAAAGAAAGGCCTGTAGTTGTTTCACACTTTTGAAAGAAGATTTTATTTTTCTTCAGCCTCTCTGTGCTGTATTTTAAATGTTAAATTTAACTGGAGTGTCAGTCACTACTTTGGTATTATTCTGGGTGTTTATTCTTACATCTACACTGCAGTAAGAAGACCTACAACATGTGCATCAGTCATTAAACAACCGACTGTCCAACAACACGTTAAAGATCAGAGTGTAGATGAACAGTTTTTCCATTTAAACATCACACAGCAGATATTCAGGACTACTGATAGAACCTGAACGTTACTGTCTTAATCACATTTAAGTTTCCTAAACATTACGTCAACGTGAACCAGCGTCTCCACAGACAGTTTTTTTACTCAGTGTACCACATCAAAGTAACATAACACACTTCAGCCTGATTACATGAAACACAACACAAACATCGTTGATGCTGCTACGTTTAACTTTAACCAGGTTACGACTGTCAGCGAGCTCGGTGAGCATCGCTAATTCACATTAAAGCTAATATTTACTAGATGCTAACTTTCTTCTCTGGTCAATACACACAGAAATAAACTCTCCCAACTTCTGAAGTTTACTGCACACATTACACCTGAGGCTAAGGTTGCAGTTAAAGCTGGCAACAATAAGAAAATAAACATTTACTTACCGAATGGATCCTTTCAGTGTCTCTGGTTCAAATCAGCTGAAGGTCCAAATTACGGTGAACTGAAAACTGGTTAAAACCAGCCAGCGGAAAGTAAAACTTTGTGAAAAATGTGCTGCTACCCCCGGGTAAATAACGACAATCTAACAGTTAATTATATCAGAAGTAAATCCAAATGAGGAGGAGACCTGAGGTTACGGTGAATGAGACTCCAGGCTGCCTCTTCCCTACGACCTGTCAGTCATTCCTGACCAGGCTGTCAATCAAGCCAGCCACACCCCTTGCCCCGCAAAATTTTGACAATTTATTTAAAATTCAGTATTGATTTATTTTCAGATTGGCCACCTGATCTCTGGATTTGACCATGAAAACTAATGGGGGAAAAAATCCTGACCTGTAGAAAAGCGGTATTTCGTGATCTGCGATTACTCCATTTACAATTGGGGTCTATGGGAGCCAGGGCTTGTTGGAGCCAGCAACTAGTGGACGTAGTGGTACTGCAGGTTTTTGACACTTCCGGGTTGGCTTTATCTTTCAGGGTCGGTTGCTACGTCCATCTTTTATACAGTCTACGCATCTAGCGTAGCAGCAAGTAAGGCGTTTAGGGAACATTAGTAAAATGTACCATCTACTGGAGCAGCATGTGAGGCGTTTAGGGAACATCAGTATAATGCACCATCTACCCATGGGCATTTTCAGCAATTGTTTAGCCTGTGTCCAGTTAATGCCTGATATTAGAACAGGATTGGTGACAAAAATATATTTTAAGGTTAAAACATTTTACAAATATCAAGTCTTGTATCACTGAAAATCATTGCAACATAACTTAGTTATACAAAAACAACTATTCATCAGCGGCATGGTGCATTAACAACTGTGGCAATGCTGAACCAAAATAAGGGAGTGGGGCGACCAGATCAGTAGCTGGTGCAACCAATGAAGAAAGTTGGTAGCGCCAGTGCTACCATTGGAAAAGTTAGTCTGGAGCTCTGTAACAGAGTCGCCAAGTGCAAGAAACCACATACAATAGCTGAGGATCTCATGCTCTCCACTGCTCTTGATATGGTGTCAACAATGACTGATGAGACTACCACAGCAAAATTGAAGGCTATCCCCTTAAAACCGGATCTGCTTTCTGCTTGTTTCCTACTTGTGCAAAGCAGTAAAGCACAGGACATTCATGTACATTAACTGCAAACAGTCTATGCCATAAAGATTGCTATGGTGAAGAGGTGAGCATATAACACAACAGATGACACATTTAGGAGATCTTTTTGAATAAAAATCAGATACGCTTTGCTGGCTATGGGGAAAATACTGTTTCGGAAAATTCTTAAATATTGATCAAATCAACAGGTTTCTGAAAAAATACACAGTCCAAACATTTACAATAAAATATTTGGAAAGTGGAAGTGGTTTATTAAAGTTAAAGGTGAATTACATGCAAGAGATATATTTGTTGTCCTATTCATTTTGATTTTGATTTGTGTCTTTATGTGTAAAGCGTTTCTTTTTGTATTCATTAATGTCTTGCTGTGTTTTGGGGTTTTGGGCTTGATAATGTTTTGGGTGCCAAAATATGAAGGCGTGATGTTGCATTTGGGTTTGTTTCCATGTGATAATTTAAGTTTATCACTCGTTAAGTGTCATTTAAAATAAATAATATATAATAAAAGTTTATTGTGGGATTAGTGTGGCACAAAAAAAGCCAAGGATTGAGACTCGCTGTTCTTACAGTAAAAGCTGGAGATGACTCAGTTCTTCTGGAAATAAAAAATAAAGGCTTCACTCTGAGTCGAGCGTCTCGTTCAACTTTTACAACCAGAAAAACTGAGAAGGAATTTCCTCGTAAATGTGCAGCCATGAAGTCAGAGTTTGATGAAGGTGAAGACGTTTGTTCCACGGAGAGAAACTGACACACAGCTGTGGCTGCACAGCTGGATCTGTGTGTTAAAGCAATAGAAGAACACAGAGTAACTGGTAACAGGCTGAAGAATAACTTCACATACATGGTGCTATGCAGTCAGGTTGCATTGTAAGGTTAGTGACTGTGTGTTCATCTCTTATGTTTGTTTGGTTATCTCAGTCAAAAATATAAATTTTTTGAAAGAGAAACTTTATCTACAAAGTTGAAAAGCTATAAATAAAAAACTAAGTTTGACGTTAACCACGACTCCCAGTAATAATAATAAGAAGAAGAAATGTAGTTTATGAAACACTTGTCAAAAATATTGTATTAATATTAAAATACATAAAATGACAAAGTAAAGAAAAGTAAATACAGCCAAAAAAAATAAGTAAAAAATTTGTAATAATGTTCAGATAAAGAGGGCGACATAATCAATTAGATATTATAACATTTGGAGAACAAAGAAAAACAATGTTAGCAAAAGGCTTTTTAAAGAATAGTGATTTAAAATATACCGATTCTGCTCTGCAGAAATCCAGTTAAAGACCAGCGACAAAGGTCCCAAATAATGAAAATCCATTTTTATTGTATTTAGTGGTTGTTAAAAACTTAGAATTCTGAAGTTAAACATGTTAAGAAGTGACAATGTTTAGTTCTGCTATTACTCAAGCCCCCCACAAC